GGTTAAGCCTCTGGGCTCAGCCATGCCCAGCCACAGTTCGAGTCCTGGACCTGGCAGCTAGCTCTCTCACTTTCTGTCTCTCTGCCTCTCTCTGGTCAAATTTAAAAATAATAATAATAATAAATAAAATGAAATAAAATAATTCTTAAAAAAAGGTTTTACAATTCCTTCAGATGATTCCAAAGCACACTACAGTTTGAGAACCACTGGTTTAGATCAATGGGAGGAAGACTGAGCTTTACCTGTATGATCACTGACTCAAGACTATTTCAGATAAATTGTACAGGACAATTAAGACTGGGCATGAGATGAGATTAGTACTCTCAGGGGTTCAGACACAGAGAAAGACTTCCTGGAAAAGCAAAGATTAAATGGTAGCAGTGGTAAAAATGGGTAAGGAAGAAATATAGACCCAGAAGGATTGACATTTTATAATGCCATGTATACAAAGTTTAGAACATGCAGACAATCATGTATAGGCAATAGGTTCATAGGTAAGTAGTAAAATACATGTATATGTAGCATGAAGAAAGCATGTAAGCATGTATGGGAATGATAAACATCTTATTTAGGATAGTAGCTACAAAGTAGGTGAGTTAAGACAACAGAATCTTATACATTTAATGTCTTGGAGCTCCTGAAATCTAACACAGCTGCACTCCCTCCATAGATCCAGAGAATAATCTTGGCTACCGGCATTCTTTTTTAAGCATAACTCATCTCTGTCTTCATTTTCTTATGAATCTCTTACCTGTGTCTTTCCCTCCTTTTTCTCTTACAAAGACATCAGTAATTGGATTTAGGGTTCACCCTAATCCAAAATTATTTCATCTTGAGTTCCTTAACTAAATTACATGTATGTACAAAGACTTAGTTTCCAAATAAGCTTACTTTTACAGGTATCATATATTGGGACTTTGACATTTTTTTTTAAGAATGAAATTCAGCCTATTACAAGGAGACAGGGGGCTTCAGTTATATTTGTATTATTTTGTTTCAGTAGTATAGTGGGTAAATTATATAGTATCCTCTATAACTTTGTGTAAGTATCTAATATTTCCTAACAAAAATAACAAAAGATTAAAAGAGGAAAGGAAGAAAATGGGCCTATTATCTGCAAGCCATTTAAGGAAAATGAAATCTTAATTATAACAAGTAAAGTGTGAGAGACAGTTAAAGGTCAAGGCTTTGATGTAAGAGGATCCTTTTTATGTATTTACATAAGGTTGCATAAGTGCTCTCTAGTATTAATAGCTTCTTTCTTATTCTATGGTAGCATATCTCATATTTGAACTTATATTGATGTTTTTTATATTTTTGTGTCTACTTCCCCACCCCTTAAAGTATCCCATGGATTGTGAAATAATTAATAATTGTAACCATAAAAGGTTTATTTATCCTTTCCTAAATTAAGTATCACTCTGTTTTTCCCTTTGTGGATGTTACATTAATATTTATTAAACTGAAATAAAGATAATGCATCTGCAACACCACTTTTTTCTAACACCAATGTTTACATTGGGAAATGAAAAACTTAATAGAATTAAATTGCAAGATTATTTTCATGCAAATTGTTTTTCAAATCCATGTTTAGGTTTTTTATAATGTGCATTTTTCATGAACTTTTTGAAATCCCTTCATATATTATGATGGAATATTCCTTATGGCTAGAATTACATGGTGAAACAAATGACACAGGGCCCTTTGTTACCATTATTTAAATAGAAAAAGCAGGCCAAGTAGGCAACTACACATATAGTGTGATCTGAAGACCCTAAATTTGTTTCTGATTGGTTGATGTTATACTGTATTCATTGTTAAATATAGTATTTCTCTTAGACTCTGTGAAGATGTGCCTTTGTTCTGAACTCCATACTTTAGCAATCCCTTCTAACTCTCTGTTGTGCCCTTCTCCACAGGGCCAGGAGCCTATTCTGTAAGTTCAGAGGAATGTCAAGGGTGGGAGGAGGGTCTTCAAAATGTTCAGGGAAATATGTATTATGAAAAAAAATGCATGGATTTCAATTTTTTTGCACCAAAATAAAGTTATACTTTAACTCAAAATTTCCATGAACATTTGATGTTCCTACATCAATGCACACCCCAATTCATCCCTAAGATACCTAGAATCCCTGGGACTAGTAGGGTAGTAGGGCATGGTGATTAAGGGCCCTGGACTCCCACATGGCTGACCGCAGTTCAAGTCTCAGATCTGGTGACTTCCTGTCTTGCCCCCCCCCCCCCCCCCCCGCGCTTTCTCTCACACACACTGTCCCTCTCTTGTCAAGTTAAAAGTAAATAATGTTAAAAAAAATTCTTAAAAAACAAAAGAAAACTTGAATTCTTTTTTTTTTTAAGAGGTTTTTGCCTTAGGGTGCGTGGCTCCCCAGAGAGAGACAGATACAGTGAGTGGGAAAGTGAGAAATGACTCCCGAAAGGAGGATGGCCATGCTGCAATCCTTTCTCTTCCACTCTCCTCCCAGGATCTTTGGCACACACGCATACATGCCCAGTGTGAGTTTCAAGCCACAGGTCTGGCACTCAAACCCTTGGCCATTGGGAGTCCAGGAACATTATCACTATGCTATCTTCTGGTCCCATCCTTGAATTCTTTGCTCAAAAAAACCCAAGCCTGGGAACCAGCAGTTAGCATAATGGCTATGTCGCTGGACTCCCACGTAGTCAATCTCGGTTTGTGTCCTGGACCTGGTGACTAAAAACTCATGCCGGGTGCGTGTGCGTGCGTGCGTGCCCAAGATCCCAAGAGGAAAATGGAGGAGAAGGGATTGCGGCATGACCATCCCCCCTGGGGGGGTGATTTCTCGCTTTCTGTCTCTCTGTCTCTCTCTGTCGTTCTGGTGAGTGCACATGCCCTATAGCGAAAGCCTCTCCAAAAAAAAAGAAAGAAAATAAAAGCCCCAAACCTGCTTCCAGAACCTTGAATGTTCCTTGACATTTGGGTCTCTCCTTTTGAGGATTATCTGCACTGTTGGTATATATATCCCTAGCTTCCTACAGGGTGGCTATTCATGGAGAACAGGTGAAGAATAGGCTGGAGTATCCACACATATATAGATTAGTCTTCTTACGGTAGGGGATAGAACTCAGGATGGTAAGAGAAAGGTACAGACTTGTCTGGGGCCATGGGCCTATAGTGGTAGTGGTAGTTCTATCCATAATGATTGTGAAGAAGGTGGAGCATCCAGAAATTCTGAATTCAAACTCAACTTTTTCTGGTGATTTTAAAGATATTTTTGTTTTGGAATAGCTTTTTCTGGTGATTTTAAAGATATTTTTGTTATGGAATATTTGCATAATATGTTATTTAATAATTTATTAGTTAATTTAAACATTTTAAATAATTAAGTAAATGACATTTAGGCCTCCAATTGAAGTTTTGCTCTGAATCCTATAAATATTAAATATTATAGCTGGGCCATATTTGGACTAATTCTTCCCCCATAGGCCTTCAGTCCTTCCCAGTGTTTTTTGTTGCTTCATGTTAACCAAATGACTAGGTTAGAATAAACCAAATAGGATCTTGGTTGTTGTGCATCTGTATTTGTAATACCTGAAACGTATAGCTCTAAAGAATTGGCACGATCTATGACTGACAAATGGACTGCATGCTTTCTCTGCCTCCATTTTTGACTACCATTGGTGTCTTACATGTGGTGAAACTTGTTTCACTATGGAACTTCCATTCCTGTCAGGGAGGATGGCAGATTCTAGCTACATAATAGTTCCTGAGTCCAAGCCCTGCCATATTTTTGGGTTAACTGTGACACTAACAATGGCAAGTTGACCATGGTAAAGTAGGATCTTACAGTGTGCCAATAGATACGCCATTCATTGAACATTTTATGTC